TGGGAAGTAAAGCCTGAGCCTCACTTTCCCTCCCCTGTGCACCGCCTGTGGGGTCTCCCAGCCTTGTCCCTGCCTGCTGGTCACAGCGGGTCTGAGGTCGCAGGGCCACCCTCTGCTTTCAGAGCCACCCCAGCCGGCTGGGTGGTGCTGGGCCTCCTGGAGTCACGCAGAGCCCTCGTCTTCCCTGATGAGGCAAACTGTGGCTCAGAGACGTGACTCGCGGTGCCGTGGCCTGGGTGGGCCACTCGAGGCCTGGGCGAAGAGGGCACAGCACAGTGAACCCACACCCCAGCGCTGCTCCTGTCTGAGCCTCAGTTTCCCCATCTGTGGTGGGGAAAGGGTGCCACATGTCTGTGGCTGGGTCACATGTGTGTCGTGGGCCTGGTTCCTGGAAGGCCCCAGTATATGGAAGCAGCGCCAAGCACCAACCAACCCAGAGAGGCTTCCTGGAGGTGTCTACGGTGGGGCACAGGACAGGCGGGTCCCCTCCCCCGAGCAGAGGGGGTCCAGATTCTGAAAGGGTTGGAGATTGTGGCCCCGGGACTCCACATCTGTGAAGAGGGGTCCCTAAGGTGAAAGGGGATTTGGCCACAGGCACGGGGAAGTGACCCTCCCCGGTATTCGTTGCATGTTTAAGGATGTGCCCGGGACAGGGAGGCTGACAGCTCCGCCGCTGGACATGGTCAGTGCTGCTAAATTTAAGCCTTTCTCCTCCTGGGGCCGGAAGCTGTCAGGACCCAGGGCCTTAATATAGCCGCCGGGCACCCCCTCCCTGCCGCTCTTCCCCCTGCCAGCCACCGGCACTCCGCGGCCCGGCCCGTCATAAACAGCCAGGCCCCTTATCAGAGCCGCAGGACGGAAGGGAGGGCGCTTCGTCGCACTGCCCAGACCTGCGCGCAAGCTTCCCGCCACCTCTTAGCTGGAGCAGACGCCCCAGGTGGCTCTGCCTGGAAATCCCTGAGGACCCTGAAACCGCCCCCCCCCCATCTGCAGAAAGTGTCCATGGAGCCCTGCCGTGTTCGGTCCCAGGCGCCCTGGAGGAGGGAAGAGACCGTGGTGAAGCCCACGAGACACTGATGAGGGAGAGCCCAGGAGCCGCGTCAGCTGGGGCTTCCCGACCCGGGACAGTTCACAGAGCAAACCTTCCCCCTCCAGCCTAGAGCCCTTAATTCATTGCTTCACTCGAGAGGCAGGGCTGCACGGCGAAAGCGTCCCAGGCACGGACGCTGCAGCACGTGCCCCTGGACGCAGCCCCGGGGCCCGACGATCTCGCCCCGAGCCCTGCTTCTGCAGCTGCTGCGGCCGGTCCACACTGCGCGCGCACCTCTGCCCGCGTGGGTGCTCGGGGCAGAACAGCGCCCTGTACGAGCTTAAAGCCCGCACGGCAGCCACATCCTGGGGACGCAGCCGCATCCACGCTGTGCTGGGCCCTGAGCGTCCGGGTGGGGTCAGAGCACAGGGTCAGTTTCTCCTTTGCTGTCGAAAAAGATGGGAAGGGAAAATCATTATCAGGGGAAGCCACGAAAGATGCCAACTTCTTATTTGACCAAATAAGTACACCTCTTAGAAAAGGCCAGCTGCTATTGTCACCATTATCAGGTCATTCAGCCTCTGACAATCCTGGAGACACCATGTCCAGACAGGGGCGTCTCAGGAATGGCTCCGACGTCCCCTCGCTGCTGTCCCTTTGCTACAACCCCGGGGACGGTTTCTGGGGCTCAGGGCTGCCTCCTCTAGGTGTGCGACGGGCTTCTCGGTAGAGCAAGTGAGGAATGGCTGCGTCCAGGGCCTGTGCAGGGGCGTGGCGGGTCCCGAGGGAGGACAGGAGCAGCCAAGGGTCCCAGAGGGGAGGAGGTGGGGAGGGGCCATGGCACAGGGGGGTGGGGAGGCAGGGGCAGGGCTAGGGTGGCACGGGACCCCAGGCTCTCCTCGAGAGGGAGGTGGGAGCCACAGCAACAGGCCCCTGAAAGAGAAGGACGAGGCTCCCCTGGGTCCCGGCCCCACATGGGCAGTGTGGGGACCCGAGCAACCAGGGCCAACCCTCCACGTCTTCCTCTGGGCCGCGCCTGGGAAGGTGCGGGCATTGCTGCTAAACGTAAGCCTTGCTCCTCCTGGAGAGAAGGCGGCTTCTCTCTTCTGCGCGCCGGACCCCACTCCGCAGATGAGAACGTGAGGCCAGAGAGAGCCGACGCCCCCCTTGAGGCTGGACTCTGCGAGCAGACCCCGGGGTGCCCTTGCCCGTCCCCCCACACGCAGATCGGGGCCAAACCGCGGCCAAGAGTAGGGAGCTGGCCCAGCCACAGTCTCACCCAGGTGGGGGCGGCCGTGGTGGGCAGCCCCTCCCCCACAGTGCCCGGCACGGCCGCCAAGATGTTGACACGGACGGCTCCAGCCGCCTTATTTATTATCTGATAAAGCGCTCTCGGCACCGCGGGTGGACGGCGTCTGGCCGCGCTGGGGCCGGCAGGCCTGGGGGAGGAGGAAGGCGGGTGGGGGACGGGAGCCAAGCCACGGCCACACCTCGGCCCAGCCAGGCCTCTGCGCTGGACTCGGGGACAGGCGTCCTGAGGAATCTCAACTTTCCCTTCCCGGGCCACCAGCCTAACTTGTCCGCTGCCCACCAAGCCGTCAGGACAAGGCTGGGTATCCCCAGGGCCTCCCTCCCCACATGGGTGTCACACACTCCCCAAGAACTGTCCTCCCCCCAGGTGTGTCTCTCCTCTCGGTGCACCCCTCACCCAGCCACGTCTGCAGCCCGTCCCTCACGATGCCCACGATGGCTGGCCCTGGGGCCCTGTGGACAAGCTGGCGTGAAGGTGTGCGCCCACCTTGGACATCCGGAGCCTGCGGTGCGTGTGCACCAGCGTGTGCGGTGCTGAGCGCTCCTTCCACCGTGGACGAGCCCCCAGGCCACCCCCACCCCAGGACGCTGCTCTGTGTTCTCCAACGACAGAGCCATCCCCAGCCCCCGGGCTGCCCCTGCGGGATGCAAACAACGCAGGCGCCAGACAGCTAGATGGCCCGAGTGCGTGTATGAGGGACCCCTCAAAGCACGTGAGAGCACAAAAACGCTCCTAAGCTCTCACGCCAAGAAAACAGTCAAGATTTTAACCCATGTCACAGTATGGTCAACGCCCGACTATACACGTGTTCAGTATGTCATTTAATACGTAGGGACATGGATGTTAACAGTGAATATCGCTCGACAATGACAGCTTATTCTAAAAATTTTTTCTCCACTTTCTTCCCGTGAGTCGGTTTTGATAACCAGGGAGGAAGGGACGGCGGCAGGGGCTGCAGGGACTGCCTGGGACAGGAAGTGGGGAGGGGCTCTGGGACAGGTGACAGTGGCCACCCTGGCCACCAGGCCGGAACCTGAACAGGTCCCTCCCTGAAGGGCTCCAGGAGAAGCAGGCAATGGTCACTGTCCCTTCCGCTTGCTTTTTGGAGGCCTGCGGGGAGTCCTTGACCTCTCCCCCGGGGACAATGGTGCTGACACTCAGACCCTCTGCAGACGCCGCCCACCTGCCAAGCGCAGGCCAAGCTGGGTT